GGTGAGGCCCACCATCCCTCCCCCCGCAGGGCATCGATGGCAAGGGCTGCCAATTATTTCACGCCGTCTAAACCTCTGTCGACGAAAAGGCATTGGGGCTTTCACTCCCAGTGTAAACACACGCTCGGGAAAACTTACATCCCATTTGGTTGCCGTGGCTAGGGAAACAATTCGCCCCCCCCCCCCCCCCCCCCTAGGAAAACAATTTGCCCCCCCACCCCTTCCCCCTTCGAAGGCATGCAAGTCGGGTGCTCCCACCCACCCACCGTCGCATGGGAGACGCGCGCGCGTGTGTGCGTGTGATCCCGCAGCACCCCAACCGAGTTTACAAAACAAAGTGTCAGCCAGCAAAACAGGCACATTTGGGTTATTTGTTTACAACCGCTCCATCCTCCTCCCCGCGGCAAGCGCGCGCGCGCTGGAAAACTGCGTCGCGGGTAAACAGCGAGCTGCGTGATCCTCCCAGTTTTGCCGCTGCTCACCCCGGGCTACAAATGTCCTGATAGTGGCATTGTCTTTGTGCTGCTCGCCTTTTGGCGTCCTCTGGTCTCACACTGTTTGAGACTTAGGCTCTAAAGAAAGTTGTCTCTAATATGGGCCAATCGGTTAAAAAGACAATGCATCATGTACTACCAGAGCATGTTTTTTTGTTTGAATGTTCACCACAAGTAGTGTGTGGTTCATGCAGGCATGAGTCCTTGCAAAAGGTTTATGTTTCATTGCCAGAAAGGGTAAAACCTATTCTTATATGGCCTTCCCCCCCTCTTTAACAAGTTAGAAAAGAATACACGAATCCAGCGCTTGGTCAATCCGCTGCTAGATGATGCCCACCCCCCTTCTTCATGGGCCACGGGAGCGATCTAACTTATCTTAAACAACAATACATGGGGGGTGTAACGGTGGAGATGAGGTGAATGAAATGGATGAGAAGGAAGCAATGGGTGGCAAATGTGAAATGTGAAATTGGTGACAGTAAACGATGACGATTGGATTGAATGAATGGGCAATGAGTGAAAGCCATACACACAATGAGAACACGTAGAGAGAAAGGTAACGGCGGCGGTTATGAGGGGGGGATTAATGGGTCGTGGGATCTGAGCTCACTTCACCGCGCTGGACGACGCGAGGCGGTGAACCCCGGTCGGATCTCGCCCGCCGCTGACGTTCATCTTGCGGCCAAGGAGGCTCACGGCGCAGTGCGCCAAGCGCGGCGCCGCCGCTCCCTTTTAAGTGATGCTCATGTTGCTTGTTCATTGAGCGTGATAAAATCAAGCCCAGAAACAGGCAATCCATGCCAATGCACGTTGACGGTCCCTCGCCACTGTGGCTAGGAGATGTTAACTACCTCGCCTGGTGTGCAGGAGGTCAGGGGTTCGATCCCTACCCTGACGCGTGGTCACGTTGATTTTTCTCCGGGTCCTCCGGTTTTTCCCTCAACATTTATAAATACGCGTTTATAGTGTTTGGCTGCTATAAATTTCCACGTGATAAGCCACTCTCGTTGAGCTATCATTTGTTGCGATGTCGCTTCTGAAAAAAAGTTATACAGCTCGGTGGGCCTTACCTGGTAAAATAAAAAAAAATAGTTTATGGATTAGTTTCTATTTCAGCCACAGTCTCGGTCTGACCAACGACAGCTGTCAAATTCCGGTACGTGACTGCAAGATCCGGAAGGGTCAGAGTGTTATTCTGGCCGGCTGCGCTCCAGAAGCGGATCTAGGAGCTTCTCGTCAGATGGAGAAACTAACTAAATATTTTTGTTACCAGTTAAGGCCCGCTTAGCTATATAGCTCTTTTTTCAAAAGCGACCTGCGCTATCACAAATGATAACTCAAGGAAGTGGCTTAATCGCGTGGACATTTATAGCGGCAGCTAAAGACTCTGAACGCACGTCTATTCTAAATGCAGAGGGGAAGGAATGGTGACACAATTCACCGGGCACGGTAAAAAAATGGGACGTGAACTTAATTCTCGAATCGAATCTCAACTCCCAAACTTGACAATTCCCACCACTCGTGGGGTTGGGTGTGAAAATTGTCATCGATGGAAGAAACGAAAACGAAACAATTTTATTTTATTTCACCAGGTAAGGCCCACTGCGCTATGTAGCTATCTCAGAAGCGACCTTTCCACAAATGATAGCTCAACCAAGTGGAAATGTATAGCAGCCAAACACCCTAAACGTGTGATGTTGACTCAAAATGTGGAGGGAAAAACCGGAGGACTCGAAGAAAAATCCGCGTGACCACGGGGACGGAGACCACGCAAACTCCAAATATACAGGCGTCAGGGTCGGTAAGAACCCACGACCTCCTCCACACCAGGTGAGGGAGTTAACATCTTGCCACCGTGGCGAAGGTGGGAGGGGGGGGCTGTTGCAAAACTCCATGCGTTTTAAATCGGGCCCTACAGCAGTGCCAGCGCAAGGTGGGGGGGGGGGGTGCTTGGGGTGGGCCCTGCACCACCAAACGTCCTATTGGTCCACCAGAGTTGACTCTCCTTGGTGATGATTCACTGTTGTGGTGCCCCCCCCCCCCCAATCAATATGAGCCACAGCCAGCTCTGCCTTACATGAATACAAATAAACATTCAATGTCCAAGGTATCAATGACATTATAATTTTTTGGGGCATCAAGGGGGATGCTACGGGGGTGATGTCCGCCTTTCCCTCCCTCCCCCGCGCTCCTGGCTTCGGCTCTCTACCGCCGTCGGCGTTATTCGAACGTCCCGGCTCGCCAGGCTCTGCCGGGGGGGGGGGGGGGGGTGGTCGTCAGTCACCCCCCCGTCCGTTCGGCGGCTCCGTGGATTCCCCTCGCCGGTCGCCGTGAAACGCGAGAGGGTCACGGCCGGCGTCTCTGCCGCGACGGCCGCGTCCAGGTTCAAGTTTCACGAGAGAGCGGGGGGGGGAGGGGGGGGGGGGGAGGGGGGGGTGGGGGGCTAGGCGCGGGAGGAGAGGGGACGTGCGCTCACGGCGGCGAGCGCCGGAAAGTGAACAACGGGGTCGCGCCGCGGTGGCTCGGCACTGTGTCCCGACGTTTCGATCCGCGTGCCAGGAGCCTTTTTCAGGAAAGGAATGCGGACGGACCGCGCACGCGGCAGAGTTGTTCGTCGCTCGTGCAAGGGGCCCCGCGCGCCTGCCGGGGAACGCCGCCGGCCGACGTGAAGCCAGGAGGCCTCTGTGTGATGGAAAATCTTGGTCGTGCTAATACAGGTCCGAATCAGAATTCATACCGGAGGAATCCGATGAGCTGTAAAGCTCTTCTTCACAGATGCCCAGTCGAAAAGGTGCGGCCCTGCGATTGCTTTGACTCACTCCACCTGCCGGTGGACGGGCCGCGACTATATAGAGAGAGGGCTTCAGAGAGCGCCTCTCAAGATTAACGCGGCCTACTCTTCCACGTGAAAGAGCCGGGAGTGCCCACGCTATATCCCACCCACACGCTGCCTCGCCCATCGGCTAACTGCGGCGTAACCGTCCACACCGAGCTGGCGAGGCGGCCACTGGCACAACCTGCGCTACTGTTTCGGCCGCCACGCCGGCGGCCTCGGGATTGCAGGCCCAGGCCGCTGCTGACCGTCACACCACGGCGGCGTCGGGCGCCTTGGCTCGGCGTAAAACAAAAACGTTCCCGCGAGCATTACGCAACTTGCTCGCAAAGTTGTCAACCCCCGACCCCCGACCCCCGACCCCCGACCCCCCCACCCTCCGATCTCCCTTGCAAACGAAGAGACGTCGCAGCTTCACCGGTTTTCACCGGGCGTCTTTCTTTGTTTTTTTTTTACTTTACTACGCAACTCGGCGCCAGCCCAGTGCAAGGCACCGGGCACGACGTGAGAGCGGAGGGGCGGAGGAGCAACAGAAACGTCCGCGGACAAAAGCCCCGGGTCGGTGGTGCTCCAGGGTTTAAAAGAGAGGGGGAGCGGTGGGGGGGGGGGTGGGCAACACCGGGCCCTCCTGATGTGACCCTGCCACCGACATTCCCGTCGTCGCACCATCCGAACGGTGCTGCCGGCTTTTGTATCGCGTGCAAGCTCAGCAGAGATACGAGTCAGAAACCAAACACAAACGAGCAAGCGTCCCTCTCGCTCCCTCTCGCTCGCTCTCTCTCTCTCTCTGCTTGTTGGAGGAAAGGGGACGGGGCTCGACGAGGGAGTAACGCTGCACGTGCAGCTCCGGTTAAGATGGATCCTCACCAAACGATGTACCGCACGACAAACGGCGGCCGTCTATTCATTTCTTGGATGGCGCGCGGGGTGGGGGGGGGGGGGGGGTGCTGGCAGGTGGGGGGGGGGGGGGGAAGAGCTGGCACCTTGCGATACGTCAGCAGTGATTGTTCATTGTGATAACTGGCCCCCCGGCATAGGAACATGGAGTTTCCACCACCGGCTCGGGGCTGTAAACAAACGAGAGATGGGTGCTTGTTTGCGAAGGCGGCCGCACGGACTTTGAGATGTCGAAATCGAGGTGAGCAAGAATAAACGTGTGCATTCGTATTAATACACGCTGCTATTTAAATAAGAGTGCAGTTCACTCGGGCGTGAAGACAGAGCATCGAACGCACATTCGGACGGCCCGCAGAGTCGCGTGGAAACATTTGGCAGGGCCGCACATCGACACGCACCTTGTCCGATGATAACGAGGCAGAGGATTGCGTGTACTGACCACGTTGACAGAGGCCCTTGACAGAAGTGAGTGAACGCGCTAAAAGTAGGCACGCAGTGTCACCAGGTCGAAAGTATCCCCCCCCCCCCCCCCCCACCGCGTGCCCGATTAGCACGGCCAAGACGCCCGCGGGGAGGGATGAATAAATACATGTCATTTGCGGCCCATTGCTAAGCGGTCGGCTTTACGAGGTAGTGTCAAAGGTCAGGGGTAGGGTTAGAGGTAAGGTCACAGGTAGGGTTAGGGTCAGGTGTAGGATCAGGGCCAGAGTCATAGATGGGAGAGGAAGTGAGACATCAGCAGAGGAAGGGGTAGGGGGTGGGGAGAGTCCACAGACCTGCGTGGCCGCGTGCGTGACGAGCACATCTCGTTGCCGAGCACGTGGAAGCGCCGCGCCTCGTGCAGCAGGCCGTAGCACTCGGGCGCCGAGCGCACCATCTCCTCGCCCTCCACCGTCTGCACGAAGTAGTCGGGCTGCAGCAGCGGCAGGCGCACGTTGTCGAGGACGTCGCGCAGGGCGCTGCGCCGCTCCACCGCGTTGTGCTGCACCCAGCGCATCACCGCCTGCCGCGCGCGGGCGAGCGTGCGGAGGGGGGGCGACGTCACGGCGGGCAGGGAGAGAGGCGCGACAAGTCAGCGGGCGCGGTCCGCGTGCTCATCGGCACAGTCGCCATCGTCGTCATCCTCACCCGTTTATTACCATCATCATCATCATCATCATTTCTTTAGAACTGCTTTTTGCGTGTTCATTTGATGTCCTTCCCCCGCACCTACGATTAGCACGGTTGGCTACGTACGGTGCAAAAGAAGTCCAACGTACGTACGCACACATTAGTCAAATTTGGCTGCATTGCACCGCAAATTACGCAACTGCAATTGCACTCGGCAGCCATGGCCGCTACTCAAAAAACCTGGCAGGACCCCTCCTGCAAAAGAATCACGCGGCTCTGTGCGAGGCTTTCCTTGGGTAGACGAGTGGAATGAATAAATAAATAAAAACAAAGAAACAACACGTGGATTGACCACGGCTGACGACGGCGTACAGAGCCAACGACGACCCGCCCCTACTGGGCATCTGTGTAAAAGAGCTTCATAGCTCAACGGATTCCTCCAGTCTAAATAAAAGATTCTGATTCTCATCATTTGTGATAGCGTGTGCATTTGTGCGGGTGGTGGGGAGCGGTGGCGCAGCGGTTAGCATGCCGCGCTTTGAACCCGGAGGGCCGAGTTCCATTCGTGGCCAACACCAGTGATGATTATCTGAACTGGTCCTGGGCCTACCCTAGATCAACTCAGCCTTAAAATAAGTCCCTGGTGAGGTCTGAAAACATCGCCAATGGGGGGAGAAAAGGTGATCAGGCATGATTTTAGCTTACCCACCCGCTCATGTACCATTTCGGCCTTCATAGGTGCTACTCGCTAACAGCAGTTGCTGCAACAGGGGGATCGTTGTCTTTGTGATAGAGTGTGTATTTGTGATGATAGTGTGTGTATTTGTGATGATAGTGTGTGTATTTGTGATCATAGTGTGTGTATTAGTGATCATAGCGTGTGTATTTGTGATGATAGTGTGTATTTGTGATGATAGCGTGTGTATTTGTGATCATAGTGTGTGTATTTGTGATCATAGTGTGTGTATTAGTGATCATAGTGAGTGTATTAGTGATCATAGTGTGTGTGTTAGTGATCATAGTGTGTGTATTAGTGATCATAGTGAGTGTATTAGTGATCATAGTGTGTGTATTTGTGATGATAGTGTGTGTATTAGCGATGATAGTGAGTGTATTTGTGATCATAGTGTGTGTATTAGTGATCATAGTGTGTGTATTTGTGATCATAGTATGTGTATTTGTGATCATAGTGTGTGTATTAGTGATGATAGTGTGTGTAATTTGTGATGATAATGTGTGTATTAGTGATGATAGTGTGTGTATTTGTGATCATAGTGTGTGTATTTGTGATCATAGTGTGTGTATTAGTGATGATAGTGTGTGTATTAGTGATCATAGTGTGTGTATTAGTGATGATAGTAGGTGTATTTGTGATGATAGTGTGTATTTGTGATCATAGTGTGTGTATTTGTGATCATAGTGTGTGTATTTGTGATGATAGCGTGTGTATTTGTGATCATAGTGTGTGTATTTGTGATGATAGTGTGTGTATTAGTGATCATAGTGTGTGTATTAGTGATGATAGTGTGTATTTGTGATGATAGTGTGTATTTGTGATGATAGTGTGTATTTGTGATGATAGTGTGTATTTGTGATCATAGTGTGTGTATTTGTGATCATAGTGTGTGTATTTGTGATCATAGCGTGTGTATTTGTGATCATAGTGTGTATATTTGTGATGATAGTGTGTGTATTAGTGATGATAGCGTGTATTTGTGATGACAGTGTGTGTATTAGTGATCATAGTGTGTGTATTAGTGATCATAGTGAGTGTATTTGTGATCATAGTGAGTGTATTTGTGATCATAGTGAGTGTATTTGTGATCATAGTGTGTGTATTAGTGATCATAGTGCGTGTATTAGTGATGATAGTGTGTATTAGTGATGATAGTGTGTATCAGTGATGATAGTGTGTATTAGTGATCATAGTGCGTGTATTAGTGATGATAGTGTGTATTAGTGATGATAGTGTGTATTAGTGATGATAGTGTGTGTATTAGTGATGATAGTGTGTGTATTAGTGATCATAGTGTGTGTATTTGTGATGATAGTGTGTGTATTAGTGATGATAGTGTGTATATTTGTGATGATAGTGTGTGTATTAGTGATGATAGTGTGTGTATTAGTGATGATAGTGTGTGTATTAGTGATGATAGTGTGTGTATTAGTGATGATAGTGTGTGTATTAGTGATGATAGTGAGTGTATTTGTGATCATAGTGAGTGTATTAGTGATGATAGTGTGTGTATTTGTGATCATAGTGAGTGTATTAGTGATGATAGTGAGTGTATTAGTGATGATAGTGAGTGTATTAGTGATGATAGTGAGTGTATTTGTGATGATACTGTGTGTATTAGTGATGATAGTGTGTGTATTAGTGATGATACTGTGTGTATTAGTGATGATAGTGTGTGTATTAGTGATGATAGTGTGTGTATTAGTGATCATAGTGTGTGTATTAGTGATCATAGTGAGTGTATTAATGATGATAGTGCGTGTATTAGTGATGATAGTGTGTGTATTAGTGATGATAGTGTGTGTATTAGTGATGATAGTGTGTGTATTAGTGATGATAGTGTGTGTATTAGTGATCATAGTGTGTGTATTAGTGATGATAGTGTGTGTATTAGTGATGATAGTGTGTATTTGTGATCAGTGTGTGTATTAGCGATGATAGTGAGTGTATTAGTGATGATAGTGTGTGTATTTGTGATGATAGTGTGTATTTGTGATCATAGTGAGTGTATTAGTGATCATAGTGAGTGTATTAGTGATCATAGTGTGTGTATTAGTGATGATAGTGTGTGTATTAGTGATGATAGTGTGTGTATTTGTGATGATAGTGTGTGTATTAGTGATGACAGTGTGTATTTGTGATGATAGTGTGTATTTGTGATCATAGTGAGTGTATTAGTGATAATAGTGTGTATTAGTGATGATAGTGTGTGTATTAGTGATGATAGTGTGTGTATTAGTGATGATAGTGAGTGTATTTGTGATCATAGTGAGTGTATTTGTGATCATAGTGAGTGTATTTGTGATGATAGTGTGTGTATTTGTGATCATAGTGTGTGTATTTGTGATCATAGTGAGTGTATTTGTGATGATAGTGTGTGTATTAGTGATGATAGTGTGTGTATTAGTGATGACTGTGTGTGTATTTGTGATCATAGTGAGTGTATTTGTGATGATAGTGTGTGTATTAGTGATCATAGTGAGTGTATTTGTGATGATAGTGTGTGTATTAGTGATCATAGTGAGTGTATTTGTGATGATAGTGTGTGTATTTGTGATGATAGTGTGTGTATTAGTGATGATAGCGTGTATTTGTGATGACAGTGTGTGTATTAGTGATCATAGTGTGTGTATTAGTGATCATAGTGCGTGTATTAGTGATGATAGTGTGTATTAGTGATGATAGTGTGTATCAGTGATGATAGTGTGTATTAGTGATCATAGTGCGTGTATTAGTGATGATAGTGTGTATTAGTGATGATAGTGTGTATTAGTGATGATAGTGTGTGTATTAGTGATGATAGTGTGTGTATTAGTGATCATAGTGTGTGTATTTGTGATGATAGTGTGTGTATTAGTGATGATAGTGTGTGTATTTGTGATGATAGTGTGTGTATTAGTGATGATAGTGTGTGTATTAGTGATGATAGTGTGTGTATTAGTGATGATAGTGTGTGTATTAGTGATGATAGTGTGTGTATTAGTGATGATAGTGAGTGTATTTGTGATCATAGTGAGTGTATTAGTGATGATAGTGTGTGTATTTGTGATCATAGTGAGTGTATTAGTGATGATAGTGAGTGTATTAGTGATGATAGTGAGTGTATTAGTGATGATAGTGAGTGTATTTGTGATGATACTGTGTGTATTAGTGATGATAGTGTGTGTATTAGTGATGATACTGTGTGTATTAGTGATGATAGTGTGTGTATTAGTGATGATAGTGTGTGTATTAGTGATCATAGTGTGTGTATTAGTGATCATAGTGAGTGTATTAATGATGATAGTGCGTGTATTAGTGATGATAGTGTGTGTATTAGTGATGATAGTGTGTGTATTAGTGATGATAGTGTGTGTATTAGTGATGATAGTGTGTGTATTAGTGATCATAGTGTGTGTATTAGTGATGATAGTGTGTGTATTAGTGATGATAGTGTGTATTTGTGATCAGTGTGTGTATTAGCGATGATAGTGAGTGTATTAGTGATGATAGTGTGTGTATTTGTGATGATAGTGTGTATTTGTGATCATAGTGAGTGTATTAGTGATCATAGTGTGTGTATTAGTGATCATAGTGTGTGTATTAGTGATGATAGTGTGTGTATTAGTGATGATAGTGTGTGTATTTGTGATGATAGTGTGTGTATTAGTGATGACAGTGTGTATTTGTGATGATAGTGTGTATTTGTGATGATAGTGAGTGTATTAGTGATAATAGTGTGTATTAGTGATGATAGTGTGTGTATTAGTGATGATAGTGTGTGTATTAGTGATGATAGTGAGTGTATTTGTGATCATAGTGAGTGTATTGTGATCATAGTGAGTGTATTTGTGATGATAGTGTGTGTATTTGTGATCATAGTGTGTGTATTTGTGATCATAGTGAGTGTATTTGTGATGATAGTGTGTGTATTAGTGATGATAGTGTGTGTATTAGTGATGACTGTGTGTGTATTTGTGATCATAGTGAGTGTATTTGTGATGATAGTGTGTGTATTAGTGATCATAGTGAGTGTATTTGTGATGATAGTGTGTGTATTAGTGATCATAGTGAGTGTATTTGTGATGATAGTGTGTGTATTTGTGATGATAGTGTGTGTATTAGTGATGATAGTGTGTGTATTAGTGATCATAGTGTGTGTATTAGTGATCATAGTGTGTGTATTAGTGATGATAGTGTGTGTATTAGTGATGATAGTGTGTGTATTTGTGATGATAGTGTGTGTATTAGTGATGACAGTGTGTATTTGTGATGATAGTGTGTATTTGTGATCATAGTGAGTGTATTAGTGATAATAGTGTGTATTAGTGATGATAGTGTGTGTATTAGTGATGATAGTGTGTGTATTAGTGATGATAGTGAGTGTATTTGTGATCATAGTGAGTGTATTTGTGATCATAGTGAGTGTATTTGTGATGATAGTGTGTGTATTTGTGATCATAGTGTGTGTATTTGTGATCATAGTGAGTGTATTTGTGATGATAGTGTGTGTATTAGTGATGATAGTGTGTGTATTAGTGATGACTGTGTGTGTATTTGTGATCATAGTGAGTGTATTTGTGATGATAGTGTGTGTATTAGTGATCATAGTGAGTGTATTTGTGATGATAGTGTGTGTATTAGTGATCATAGTGAGTGTATTTGTGATGATAGTGTGTGTATTTGTGATGATAGTGTGTGTATTAGTGATGATAGTGTGTGTATTAGTGATGATAGTGTGTGTATTAGTGATGATAGTGTGTGTATTTGTGATGACAGTGTGTGTATTCGTGATCATATTGAGTGTATTAGTGATGATAATGTGTGTATTTGTGATGATCGTGTGTGTATTAGTGATCATAGTGAGTGTATTTGTGATGATAGTGTGTGTATTAGTGATCATAGTGAGTGTATTTGTGATGATAGTGTGTGTATTAGTGATCATAGTGAGTGTATTTGTGATCATAGCGTGTGTATTTGTGATGATAGTGTGTGTATTAGTGATCATAGTGAGTGTATTTGTGATGATAGTGTGTGTATTAGTGATCATAGTGAGTGTATTTGTGATCATAGCGTGTGTATTTGTGATGATAGTGTGTGTATTAGTGATCATAGTGAGTGTATTTGTGATCATAGCGTGTGTATTAGTGATGATAGTGTGTGTATTTGTGATGATAGTGTGTGTATTAGTGATGATAGTGTGTGTATGTGATGATAGTGTGTGTATTAGTGATCATAGTGAGTGTATTTGTGATCATAGCGTGTGTATTTGTGATGATAGTGTGTGTATTAGTGATCATAGTGAGTGTATTTGTGATCATAGTGAGTGTATTAGTGATGATAGTGTGTGTATTTGTGATGATAGTGTGTGTATTAGTGATCATAGTGAGTGTATTAGTGATCATAGTGAGTGTATTAGTGATGATAGTGTGTGTATTAGTGATCATAGTGAGTGTATTTGTGATGATAGTGTGTGTATTTGTGATGATAGTGTGTGTATTAGTGATGATAGTGTGTGTATTAGTGATGATAGTGTGTGTATTAGTGATGATAGTGTGTGTATTAGCGATGATAGTGTGTGTATTAGTGATGATAGTGTGTGTATTAGTGATGATAGTGTGTGTATTAGTGATCATAGTGTGTGTATTTGTGATCATAGTGAGTGTATTTGTGATGATAGTGTGTGTATTAGTGATCATAGTGAGTGTATTTGTGATGATAGTGTGTGTATTTGTGATCATAGCTTGTGTATTAGTGATGATAGTGTGTGTATTTGTGATGATAGTGTGTGTATTAGTGATGATAGTGTGTATTAGCGATGATAGTGTGTGTATTTGTGATAATAGTGTGTGTATTAGTGATGATAGTGTGTGTATTTGTGATGATAGTGTGTGTATTAGTGATGATAGTGTGTGTATTTGTGATGATAGTGTGTGTATTAGTGATGATAGTGTGTGTATTTGTGATGATAGTGTGTGTATTAGTGATGATAGTGTGTGTATTTGTGATGATAGTGTGTGTATTAGTGATGATAGTGTGTGTATTTGTGATGATAGTGTGTATTTGTGATCATAGTGTGTGTATTTGTGATGATAGTGTGTGTATTCGTGATGATAGTGTGTGTATTAGTGATGATAGTGTGTATTAGTGATCATAGTGTGTGTATTTGTGATGATAGTGTGTGTATTAGTGATGACAGTGTGTGTATTTGTGATCATAGTGTGTGTATTTGTGATGATAGTGTGTGTATTAGTGATCATAGTGTGTGTATTTGTGATGATAGTGTGTGTATTCGTGATGATAGTGTGTGTATTTGTGATGATAGTGTGTATTAGTGATCATAGTGTGTGTATTTGTGATGATAGTGTGTGTATTAGTGATGACAGTGTGTGTATTTGTGATCATAGTGTGTGTATTTGTGATGATAGTGTGTGTATTAGTGATCATAGTGAGTGTATTTGTGATGATAGTGTGTGTATTTGTGATGATAGTGTGTATTAGTGATCATAGTGTGTGTATTTGTGATGATAGTGTGTGTATTAGTGATGATAGTGTGTATTAGTGATGATAGTGTGTATTAGTGATGATAGTGTGTGTATTAGCGATGATAGTGTGTGTATTAGCGATGATAGTGTGTGTATTAGCGATGATAGTGTGTGTATTAGTGATGATAGTGTGTATTAGTGATGATAGTGTGTGTATTAGTGATGATAGTGTGTATTCGTGATGATAGTGTGTGTATTTGTGATCATAGTGTGTGTATTAGTGATGATAGTGTGTGTATTAGTGATGATAGTGTGTGTAATTTGTGATGATAATGTGTGTATTAGTGATGATAGTGTGTGTATTTGTGATCATAGTGAGTGTATTAGTGATGATAGTGTGTGTATTTGTGATGATAGTGTGTGTATTAGTGATAATAGTGTGTGTATTAGCGATGATAGTGTGTGTATTAGTGATGATAGTGTGTGTATTAGTGATGATAGTGTGTGTATTTATGATGATAGTGTGTATTAGCGATGATAGTGTGTGTATTTGTGATGATAGTGTGTATTAGTGATCATAGTGTGTGTATTTGTGATGATAGTGTGTGTATTAGTGATGATAGTGTGTATTAGTGATGATAGTGTGTATTAGTGATGATAGTGTGTGTATTAGCGATGATAGTGTGTGTATTAGCGATGATAGTGTGTGTATTAGCGATGATAGTGTGTGTATTAGTGATGATAGTGTGTATTAGTGATGATAGTGTGTGTATTAGTGATGATAGTGTGTATTCGTGATGATAGTGTGTGTATTTGTGATCATAGTGTGTGTATTAGTGATGATAGTGTGTGTATTAGTGATGATAGTGTGTGTAATTTGTGATGATAATGTGTGTATTAGTGATGATAGTGTGTGTATTTGTGATCATAGTGAGTGTATTAGTGATGATAGTGTGTGTATTTGTGATGATAGTGTGTGTATTAGTGATAATAGTGTGTGTATTAGCGATGATAGTGTGTGTATTAGTGATGATAGTGTGTGTATTAGTGATGATAGTGTGTGTATTTATGATGATAGTGTGTATTAGCGATGATAGTGTGTGTATTAGTGATGATAGTGTGTGTATTAGTGATGATAGTGTGTGTATTAGTGATGATAGTGTGTGTATTTATGATGATAGTGTGTATTAGCGATGATAGTGTGTGTATTTGTGATGATAGTGTGTGTATTAGCGATAACAGCGCGTGTATTCGTCGCGCGCGATGGGCGCCGGGGAACGGCGGCGCAGCGTGGCCAAGCGGCGAGCGTCACCTCGAAGACGGTCTCCTCCTTGTCCACGACGAGCTCGTCACTGGAGACGTAGTCCACGAGCTCGTCCTTGGGCAGCTCGAGGAACTCCTGGTGCTGCACCACCTCGCAGAAGCGCTGCAGCGCGAACGCCGCGCACTTGCCGTGCAGCGACTGCAGCGAGTGCGCGTCGGCAAATCGCTGCAGTCCCAGCACGTTGCACGGGTCCAGCTGCTCCTCCAGGAACTTGGCACAGGCGGAACGCAAAGCGTGGATCTGCCACGAGCAAGGGAGCAGGCCGCGCCATTAACAACTCGTCACTCTTTTGACTTAAAGCTTTCGTGACTGCAGTAATTCATGGCTCTTAGCTCTTTGGGTAAAGTCACGTTGAAGGGAAACAATAAAATAATACAAAATATATATAAAAAACAATAACAATTCTCACGGCGTTTCGACCATAACGCAAACGGTCGTCGTCAGGTGCCGTTGGTTTTTTCACACCTGATGATGTTATGGTCGAAACGTCGTGAGAATTTTTATTGTTTTATATATATTTTATTATTTTATTGTTTCCCTTCAACGTGACCTCACCGAAAGAGCTAAGAATATGAATCCGTCACTCGTTTTTTTTTCTTTTCCCACTGGCACAAGCGGAGCCGTGCCGAGCCACCGGCCCGCGTCGTTTTTTTTTCCCCCCCCCGCCGCGGAAGCCGCGCCGCTCTGTCGCCGCGCGCGGCTGGAGATGACGCGGCGACGCCGCGAGGCATTTACAAACTGGTGGTGGGAAAATAACTTGCTCCCCTTTATCCGGGTGCACCCACCGGTTCAAGATTGCTAATAACTCGCCGCATTTAGCGTCAGCGCCGGTCTTATAGCGGCATGGCCGTCACGAAGGCGAAATGTTTCACGGGCATAGTCCCGCAGTGAAAAAGAGCGACATAGATCGGTGGGCCTTACCTGGTAAAGTAATTTTTTTTATTTTTATTTTAGTTGCACAGGAAGAGATGATGTTGCTGTGTGTGTACTCCACACAGTGCAGTTTTGCGGTGTAATTTATCGGAATTCGCACAAATGTTGACGCTGTACGTATGCACGTTGAACTTCTCTCGTCACCCCCCCCCCCTCCCACCGCACCTCCGCGGTAATCGGAGGTGCGGGGGGGGGTGGGACGGAAGGACAACAAAGCAAACACAAAACCTCAGTTGTAAACAAATGAGCTTTCAAGTTAAGTAACCGTGCCACGGCCGCTGCCTCTGCGGGGGTTAACGCTGCAGCCTGGGGGGGGAAGGGGGGGGGAAGGGGGGCAGGCGGGGTGAGAGGGGCGCCGCTTGCACCTGGAAGAGGCTGGCGGTCTCGAAGAGGTACTGCACGTTGTCGGTGGTGATGCGTGCACGGCCCGTGTACATGTACTGCAGCAGCTGCTCCATGGCGGACGCCTGGATGCCGTTGATCTCGACGATGGTGGCGCGGCTCTCGCGGTGGTCGTTGCAGAACATGGCGCGGAAGTAGGCGGAGCAGGCGGAGAGGACGGCGCGGTGGCACGGGAACTCGCAGCCCTCCACCGCCACCATCACGTCGGTGAATATGCGGTCCTACGGGTGGCGGAGGGAGGGCAGGGGCAGTGGGGGGGGGGGGGCGGCAGCAGCACCGCTGTTATCTCGAACGACGGCGAGGCAAATAAGCCGCAAGCGAAAAATAAAACGAGAACTTTCGTTTTCTTTTAACGTTAAGTTTACTTTACGTTTTGTACGTTTGTACGATGAACTTTGAAACGTAAGAATACGTTTTACCCTTTCTGGCAATAAAACAGGAGGTGTTAAGATGTTCAAACACCAAATAGACACCTTATGCGAGGAAGCAAGTTCGCATTAACTAAACGTAGGTGTGGTGAACACCTGTTTAATTGCCATAAAGGGTAAAACCTATTTTTAATTTTCAAACTTTGATACTGGCAAAAAAGGTCTCATCATACGCTGAATTTTGTTCGCAACGTACGTTTTATTTACTATGTGGTATTTATATTCTGGGTTCTTCCGGTAAAGTCACGTAGAAGGGAAACAATAAAATAATAAAAATATAAAACGTGACTTTACCCTGCAGTCACGAAAGCTTTAAATCAAAGTTTATGTAGTATTTATTACAGTATTACGGGCAAATGTTCAATATTCCTTCTTATTTACGAGTTTCAACTAGAACTAAAAAACATTTTAACTTTTATTTTACCAACTAAGGCCCACTGGGCTATGTAGCTTTGTCAGAAGTGTCAAAAGATAGCTCAACGAAGTGGCTCATACCACGTGGAAATTTATAGCAGCCAAATACTCTGAGCGCATGACGTTGATTCTAAATGTGGAGGGGGAAAAAACCAGGAGACCATCGAAGAGTGCTCCCTCTTAGTCACCATTCGCTTCCTTCCACGCCGTGTCTCACCCCCACACACAGGCCCGACGCCATATGCTTGTTTCGTCGCCACTCGTCGTAGTGATCGTGGCCGGCCATGATCAATCCACTGCTGGGTGAAGGCGTTCCCCAAACCATCGCCAATTCACGGCGGTCCCGCGGCGCAGCCTTCCACTCATCTCGATCGATTTCATCGCTCCATCTCTCCCCCCTCAACACCCCCCCCCTCCCCGCCCCCCCCCCCCCCCCCCGGCGGACGCTCCCTCGGGCAAGTTGCTCCGCTGCCCTCTACCCTGGCCGTTTCAGGATCCTCTAGTAACGCCCGTCGCCTCACAGCGGGGGCCTTCAAAACGTCCGGTGCCGTGATTTAAAAAAAGGAGTGGGCCTCGTGTGCCGGCGTCACGGCCCAAATCATTTGCAGGTTATTTAATTGGGTAGCGCCAAATAACGACAACGGCCCGGCCCACCCCCCCCCCCCCCCCCTACCGTGAACATACCGCGGACTACACCCGTCGGGGGAACACAGCGCGTGAAGGCAGCCTTTGCGCTACGATAACGGCGCGGGCGATCGAAGCCACTGGGGGGACGTGTGTTGGCTGCGCGGTTGCTCCGGAGCACACGACCCAGAGAGACCCGGGTTGCCAGGCTATGAAGGGGATTAAGGAAGGCCTGGGGTTTGGGGGGGGGGCAAGCCCCGATGGTTGACCGGGGGGGGGCGCGCCCAGCCGGGCGGTGCCGACTTTAGACCTAGGCGACGTAGGCATTTGCCGAGGGCGGTGACAGATTGCCGGGACTCGGGAGGAGCAGGCGGGTGTCGGGTTCTGCGGCCGGGCGGCTGTGATCGGTGGGCGAGGGAACCGCTCAACGCGATGCCTCGGCCACATCGCTGGAGACGCCCGTGTACACACACGCGTGTGCGTACACGCGTGTGTGTACACGCGTGTGGAACGCGCTATCAGCCGGAGGGGGGACAAAACACAGTGCCCCCCCCCCCCCATTTCATTCCTCGCACCAGGTTCCCATGCCAACCGCGCTACGCAACGCCACTGCTGCGCTTCAGCCGCGGGTGCTTGGCTGTAATCAGGGGACAATTTACCGCGGCCGAGAGATCTCGATGTAGCACGGTGGCTAGGAGATGTTAACTGCCTCGCCTGGTATGCAGGAGGTCGTGGGTTCGATGCAGGCCCTGACGCCTGCTGCTGTATATTTGGAGTTTGCGTGTCTCTCTCTCTCTCTCTCATCATCATCACGGTGGCTAGGAAATGTTAACTGCCTCGCCTGGTATGCAGGAGGTCGTGGGTTCGATGCCGACCCTGACGCCTGCTGCTGCTGTATATTTGGAGTTTGCGTGTTTGCCCAATTGGTCCACATTTAGAACCAACACGTGTTTAGATTATTTGGCTGCTATACATTTACACGTAATAAGCCAATTCGTTGAGCTATCATTTGTGGGCAGGTCGCTTCTGAAAAAGAGCTACATAGCTCAGTGGGCCTTACCTGGTCAAATAAAAAACTTGTTGAGTTTTAGTTTCTTCCATCGATTCTGACATGCACGCTCACGATGCATGCATCGTGAGCGTGCTAATCTATTGCAATCAACAAAGTGGAGGACACATACTCCCGCACAGAGCCCACTGATGACCCCCCTGGTTAACCACTGACATTAACCCATGACCTCCCAAGCCATAATCTTGGCACACAGCATGCTGGGACACAGTGGTGGCGCTAAGCAAAAAAAATAAGTGTTTCACCCCCCCGGCTCCTCCTCCTCTCCCACCCTCCACCTTTCAACTCGTAAATGCATGGTGAGATGACACATGAGAGATGCAGACGAGAGATGTAGGGAAAGGAGAAAAAAAGACAAACAAGGAGACGGAGTGAGATGAGAGGAGAGGTGTCGATAGGGCAGACGCGAGAGATGTTGTTTACGCGAGTTAGCTTGTTGTGTTTGTTAGGGTTTGAACTACGGCTGATATTTTTATGCACCCCTATTATTCCATGAATCCCGGGACTCGCGAACGGTCCATCCGTTGCCCCGAGCTCTTGCTTGGTTTGCTAGTGCCTAGCGCTGCCGCTTGTGCATGACACAACTTTTCAGACAGAGGACCACGGCCATGAAGCTACACATGCAGATTGAATTAGCCTTATAGGTGACCAAGTAGGAGCCAATACTATCAGTGTATAGTGCAACCATATAATCCATACCGGTCAAAGGTTAAGCTGCGTGCCCTTAAGCATGCAGCTCACTGATTTACGCACGGAAAAAGCGCCCAAATGCTCCAAAGCCAACTCTAGTCCTCGCGACCCAACATCTGTGCCCGATGTTGTATCAGCGCTTGAACGTATGGGTTGTATTTTTTATTCATTTAACAATATTGCCTAAATATATTAATTTTGAATATGAACCCCCCCCTCCGCCCACCCTTAGATTTGGTTTTATTTGCGAAGTGATGTCGCAGGAAGCGACAGAGGTGCCACGGTGGCGAGATGTTAACTACCTCGCCTGGTATGCAGGAGGTCGAGGGTTCGATCCCGACCCCGACGTCTGCTGTATATTTGGAGTTTGCGTGTCTGTCTCTCTCTCTCCCCGTGGTCGCGCGGATTTTTCTCCGGGTCCTCCGGTTTTCCCCTCCACATTCAGAATCGGCATCGTGCGTTCATCAAGTATTCGGCCGCTATACATTTCCACACGACAAGCCACTTTGCCGAGCGATCAACCGTGGCCACTTCGCCCCTAAAAAAAAAAAAATAGCAACGTAGCTCAGCGGAGCCTCACCTGGTAAAATAAAAAAAAAATTAGTTTCGTTTACGTTTTGTTAAGGCCATGACAGGAAGTGACGTCGCCCGCGGCACCATCCCCGCCGCAGGAAGCGAGGTCGCGCGAGGACGCGAGGACGCGGGCCGCTCACCTTCAGGCGGAACTCATTGAGGGCGGCGAGCACTCCCTCGGCGTGGGGGCTGCCGGCGGAGAATTCGAGCAGCTCGCTGGCGGCCGTGCCGCCGGGCGTCTTCGACTCGAGGTTGAGCACCTTGCGCTTGCTGGCGGGGGACTCGCGCGCGCTCTCGCCCGCCCCGGCGCGCGCGTTACGCCGGCCCAGGATGAGCACCATCGCCGCGGCCGCCGGCGATGAGTCGCCGTCGCACGGCGCACGGGATCGAGCGCGCGGTCCTAGCGGCGGCGGCGGTTGCCCTCTCCCTGAGGGGCGGACAGCGAGGCAACGCACGTGCTCACACGCGTTGCACATGAACGGCACGCGTTCAATGTCGCGGGCGCGTAGATGCGCGCCATCGTCGTGTTTACGGGCGGTAGTCCCCGAGATGCGAACGTCCGACTTACGAACATCCGCACTAGTGAACGAAGTGGCCCCGAGATGTTAGTTTTTAACCATCCGACTCGTGAACACTCGGCCGTACGAACCGAACTGCGGAACGCGATTTTGTTTGGCGGAGCAATTCTCGGCGAGATGCAATTAGTTCCATCATCCTGTGTAATGAGTTCCAGCGTAAGCCAGCATCAGGAACTTTATTTAATGTTTTGCTCACTAGACGGTATTTTCTACAGCTGCTGCATGGAAATGTAAAAATATTTCTTCTTACGAGTTTAACAAAGCTTTCCTTCTTTGTTGAACCATAACACATTAAACATATACATTTGACGATTAAGTTATGAGATACAGTAAAACCTTGCATTGCGAGTAACTTGGTCTACGAGTGTTTTGCAAGACGAGCTAAAAATGTTTAAATAAATATTAATTTGATAAACCAGCGAGGGTCTTGCTATACGCGTAGTGTACGTATACGCTTTGTCTGCCGAGCGTCACGTGATCACAACTGATATGCGAGTGCTTTGATAAACGAGTGCTTTGGATTACAAACACGTTTTCGGAACGAATTATGCTCGCAATCCAAGGTTTTACTGTACAAACAAATCGACTTACAAACGGGTCTCAGGTGACCCCGTATAGCCTAACACAGTGAGGGAAAAAAAGTATTTGATCCCCTTTAAGAGTGTTCTCCTAATCTCAGCTCGTTACCTGTATAAAAGACACCTGGGAGCCAGAAATCTTTCTGATTGAGAGGGGGTCAAATACTTATTTCCCTCATTAAAATGCAAATCAATTTATAACATTTTTGACATGCATTTTTCTGGATTTTGTTGTTGTTATTCTGTCTCTCACTGTTCAAATAAACCTACCATTAAAATTACAGACTGATCATTTCTTTGTCAATGGGCAAACGTACAAAATCAGCAGGGGATCAAATACTTGTTATCCCTCACTGTAAGACTGTTTGGGCAAGTGCTGTTTGCGAGCACTTATATAAAGGCTGGTACGGCACACGAGGGAGTGGGTGGCCGACACCGTGCCCGGCCACCTTTGTCTCCCCAATGCTGTTGTTTAGAGACCGCACCAGGTACTCATTTAAGGCTGAGTCGACCTAGGGGAGGCCCTGGACCTATCCAAATATTCACCACTGTTATTCGTTATGAGCGGGAATCGAACTCGGATGGCTGGGTTTGTAACATAGTCCGCTAACCACTGCGCCACCACTCCACACATACAACTACAACACAAACGTCCCCTGCATAGCCTTTAACAGATTGTCACGGCAAGTGCTGTTCACCAGCACCTATGAAGGCCGACACTGCACACGAGGGGGTGGGTGGCCAAGCGCCACGCCCGCCCACCTTTGTCTCTCGAGTGGCGATATTTACACACAGCACCAGGTACTCATCTGATGCCGAGTCGACCTAGGGGGAGGCCTAGGACCGCTTTCAGATAATCGTCACTGGTGTCGACTGCGAGCGGGAATGGAACTCGGGTCGCCAGGTTCGTAGCGCAGCGTGCCGACCGCCACACTACCGCTCCCCGTGTATAAAACTACAGACGCGCGCGCACGGTGACGTGCAGATTATATTGAGCGAGTCTCGCGCCTCTGCACCCCCCACGTGCCCGTCACGGCGTTGCCGTCGCGCGTCACAGCATCAGCCACAGCGTCGGTCGCAGCGAGATGTATGATGAGGAGGGCCCCGGGTGTTCACCACCATCTCGGCTGCCATGGCCTCAACTGCTTCAAGATTTTTTCGAGCATTATGAATATTTTTCTTCCACCAAAAAAAACCCCTTGTCTTGAGCATTACAGTATTTTGCATTTCGTTGGAAAATCGGTAATGTTTTTTTCTCTCTGTTTGCTGTTATTGCCGTGCTTTGTATCGTGTTATTGCTGCTGTTGGTGACACTGGTGGGTGACATCAGGGTCACCCGCCCTGGGAAATGAGACCCATCCTGGTACCCTTGCGTTCTCACTTGGTTCAATAAAAATATGCCCGAAACGTAACCCCGATATTCCACCACGTCATTCAAAACTATGGTGCTGTGTAATTTAATTTGTTAAAGAATGCATGTCCTGGAAATACTGGGCTAATAAAGGGATGGGACACCCCAGTCTATCCGTTTTCTGAGCAAAACCCTAATTATTTCCATGCAGACCATAATTAGGCCACATATAGAACAATTTTTTTTTACTATAAAAATGAATTTAAAAAACACACAACTACTGAATCCAACGAAAACCACGTGGCGATTCTGGAAGGACGAATCCACTTTTGCATCCGTCACTGCGCAGTCCAGGACTAAACTGGGACTACACGCGGGCACGCGATGTTTCTGCGCCACTTGGAGACACGGCTAACAGCACCGACAGAACTGCTCTTGCACGCGCGACCGTATATTTAGAAAAGGCACAGAAAGACGTGCAAAAAACACCACACGGCCCCTGTGGACTACGCCAAAGAACCCCCATCGGCATTTACTGAATAACTGCATTGTGGTCCTCTTGTCTTCGGTCACCATCAAATACTATTTGAGCGATTGTGACCGACGGACAGGCAGCAGTGGTATGGCGAAGGACAACTGTGGACCGGTTTTGTCCTCATCGGCGCGGTATAGTCACCAGTGCCCACTGCTGGAAAGTCTGCTTGTGGGAACCATACATAACAATAATAATTTACATTTATTTGTAGGACGCCTTCCACTAATGTCCCAATGTGCCCGTGGGCCTATTAGGCTTTCCCTTCTGTATAATTTTTGTGAGTATATTTTTTCTCTTTACATTTTTAACAATGCCTCTTCCCACCCCGAGAAACCCCATTATATATGTGTGTGTGTGGGGGGGGGGCGCACGGTATACCCCACACGAACGATATTCCGAGGACCCTCCGCAACGGACGATACCTTAACAGGCACCGCCGTATATAACGGTGCCCATTGTCGCACGAACAACGCGCAGACGGACGCCCCCCCCCCTCCCACCCCCCCGCACGGAGCGAGCCAAGCGGCTGATAACGCAGCGCGTTCTCACGCGGGTATTTCAAGAGTCGTTAATAAGTCGGACGCCGACAACACTCTGTAATGCCTCGCTGTCAGCTGGCGGCGTGGGTGACTCGCATTAAACCGCGCGCCCCCCCGAGGGAGGCATGGCCGACACACCTGGGAATGACAGTGACCGCCTCGGGCTGAAATTCACGATGCGGTGATGCGCATTACATCACCACCCCCCCCCCCACCGCACCACCACCGCCGTGGCGACTTCGGCAAAGCGGCTGCCGGACCACTGACTGCGCGCAATCCCCATGCGCCCGCTGCCGTGTAGGACGATGCCACAGCGTCGTTGTACAAGCAACCCTCCGATGAGCCACGGTTGCCTACGTACGGTGCGAAAGAAGTTTAACGTACGTACGTACGTACAGGGCCGCATTAGAATTAGAACGTTCACAGCGGAGGAATCCAACGAGCTATAAAGCTCTCTTTTTACAGAAGTGCTATTAACGGCTGGGTCAACGCCGTCCGAACAGCCGAGCATCAGGCGCAGGGTGGCGCGTTTATAGAGACCCCGCTGCCCCGCAAGAGGGAGGCATCGCAGAGAAAACGACGCTGTAGTTTAAAAAGCCTCTTCCCCCCTTTTCCCCACCAATCTCTATGCACGTGAACACTCTTCCCTTGTGTTGGAGGTCACCCTTTCAAGCGCTCTCCAGGCTCCAGCCTGCCGACCTTGAGAAGTGCGATGGCACCTGGGCGATTTGGTCAGTGTTGCAAATCGGCGCCCGAAAACACGACAAGGGCATTTCAAGTCGTGGCTCCTGCGTCCCAGCCCGCAAGTAAAACAAAGCACACGCAAAGTTCCCCTTCCCGGTGCGGAGGGCGTGAAGGCGCACCCGACTGCGCGGAGGCGTCGCGAACCCCAAAACCAGCGGGGCCTCCGGCGTCACGCTCGGTCGGAAGCCGACTTTCCGGGAACAGTTCCGGAAGACGAGCCGGCAAGGTGAGCTCGGGGGCGAGCGGCGTCCCGCGACGACGCCGGCGAAGAAGGCGGCGAGCGACCGCTCCGGCGCTCCGGAGGGACGGACCGACCGTCCCCACCGCCCCCGCCGCGGATTCTCGCTCGCGGCGTCGCGCTCGGCAAGGGGAATCTAAACGTGGAAGGAAAAACCCGGAGGGGAATCCACGCGACCGCAGGGAGAACACGCGAACTCCAAATATGCAGCAGGCGTCAGGGATGGAAATTAACCCACAACCTCCTGTATACCACGCGAGGTAGTTCACATCTCGCCACCGTGGCACCCTCTAAAACAGTCTTGACCGCCACCCACCCCCCAGCACTCTCCTGAAATCCCGCCACCCTTTCTTTTAAATCTAGATCGATAACTAATTTCTTTAGAAATGCTTTTTGTGTTTAGTTTGTTGTCCCTCCACCGCACCTCCAATTCGCATGCTTGGCTGCATGCCGTTTCCAAATAAGTTGAACGCACGTACAAGAGAGCAGAACAAATGATGGGAGCACACGGGCAGCTGCTGCCTGCCCAGCGAGGCTGTTTATCGGTGGCAGCTTAAAGAACCCGGGCAATGATTTATAACTTTAATTGCCGTTGCGAAACTAAGTTGCTTATCTCTGCAACGTGTCATACGAGTGAAGAAAGGGTGACGTGCCTTTCAGAACATATAGGTCAATAGTAAAAAAAATAAGTCAATAATCTTTCGTCTGTATCGTTCATGAATAAAATGCGACCGTATGAGGTTTTCGCGGTTGTACTTTAGAGATGCTTGCGGCTTGCGCCCCCGCGTTGCCAGGTACGATGTCCGGCGTGTCGCTCCACGTTCTGGAAGCTTCTTCGGGAACTTGACCACCACAACGAGACGG